AAGATATTATTCATCATCGAATTATAAAACATAAAACCCCGAATGCGCACGTTGTAATATTCTCATGGTTTTTTATTCTTATCATTTCATGAAACATGCTCTGATCGTGGAAAATGGCATATCATTATTTACAGCAGATTCTCACGATTGAATTTCTGAGTATATTCAAATGCAAAGATTTTTTTCCCCTAAAAATATAGAAAGATTTCTATCAAATGATACCTACCTTTTGACTCTCCTTGCTACGGTTTTGGAGTTATGAGTCATTATTTTTGTGTATGGCACTCAGAAAACAACCTCCAGGGAGTCAAGAGCTAAACAAAAAGGCCTATTTTGTTACAAAATACTGTAACTTTTGGATATGTTATGCTATATCACCACAAAATTTGAAACAGATACAGCTAACATGCTGGGGAATATCATCAAAAAAGAATTTTCCTCCTACCTTATTTCTGAGATATTGAATGTCAAATAAGACAGATATGAAAAATGTCTCTTGAGCACTTTCTTACATTTTTATCAGCTATTTCTCAGCTGGAGAATGTCCAAATAAAATTTTTTGACTCTCCTTGCTACAGTGTTCGAGTTATGAGTCATTAATTTTGTGTATGTCACTCAGAAAAAAACATCAACTTCAGTGAGGCAAAAATGCCCAAATCATTAAATGTCAAATCATTTAAGAAAAAAATATTCTACATATAAGGAAATTAAAGGATTAGTTCACTTCCAGAATAAAAATTTCCTGACAATTTACCCACCCTCATGTCATCCAATATGTTTATTTATTCAGTCAAAAAGAAATTAAGGTTTTTGAGGAAAATATTCCAGAATTTTTCTCCATATATTGGGTGTGTAAATAATACCTAAACCCATGAATTGAAGAAATCAGTCAGAGAGCTCTATTGAACACTTGGCAAGCAGAATGTAAAACCTAGAATGATTCTGTCTATTTGATCTTTTATATAACTTTTTTTTTTTTTTAAGAATTAGGTATCATTTTAAAGCTTAGAAATTCAGCTTTTGAATGCATCCAAGTTCAACCATTTTGTTAAACTCCTAACCAGTGCTGCCTAGTTCCTCTAAACCGGAGTGTACTGCCGGTGGGCGCCTCCTAGCAAAGAAAAAAATTATAATCATATTTTTCAAAATCAATGGCTTGATCAACACAAAATAGGTGTCATTTGAAAGCTGCCCACTTTGATTATTAACTCCTAAGTAGTGCTGAGTTATTTGCGGATAAATAGAAATTTTTATTTTCATAATTTATGAAAAATGTTTTTTTGTGCCATGTACTCTTAATATGTCAGAAACATCATACAGCTCAGATAGTCATGTGCCATATGTCATTTGAAAGGTCTCGTTATGTAAAATAAAACAAATATAATTGTTTGGGGATTTGACTAAACTTGAGTGAGGCATTACTTCAGATTCAAAACAACAATTTCAAAACTGTCAGGGCTAAGAGAAAGGCTACCTTGGGTTTCAAATGCTGTAACTTTTGATTACTTCATAATATCACCACAAAATTTTATTCACACACATGTTGGGGAATGTCACCAAAAAAAACAATTTTTTTTTAAATATGCCCAAATCATTAAATGTCAAATCATTTAAGAAAAAAATATTCTACATATAAGGAAATTAAAGGATTAGTTCACTTCCAGAATAAAAATTTCCTGACAATTTACCCACCCTCATGTCATCCAATATGTTTATTTATTCAGTCAAAAAGAAATTAAGGTTTTTGAGGAAAATATTCCAGAATTTTTCTCCATATATTGGACTTCAATTGGTCCAAATGGCAGTTTCAATGCAGTTTCAAAGGGCTCTACACAGTTCCAGCCGAGGAATAAGGGTCTTACCTATTGAAACGATTGGTCATTTTCTAAAAAAAAAGTATATACTTGTTGACTACAAATGCTCATCTTGCACTAGCTCGACCTCACGCATTACACATTGGAAAGGTCACGCGTGACATAGGCGGAAGTTACCCAGTGTTTACAAAGCGAACGTTCACAGAAAGTTAAATGCCCTTTACAAAAAAAGGTAAAACAATGATGTCGGACAATTTTGAAGTATATGATAAGACCATTATTCCTCAGCTGGGATTGTGTAGAGCCCTTTGAAGCTGCATTGAAACTGCATTGAAGTCCACTGTATGGAAAACAATCCTGGAACGTTTTCTCAAAAACATTAATTTCTTTTTGACTGAAGAAAGAAAGACATAAACATCTTGGACGACATGGGGGTGAGTACAATTTTTATTCTGGAAGTGAACTAATCCTTTAATGATCATAGTTAAAATTTAGGTTAAAATTAAGAATGTAATTATTTTGGTTTTGTGGCACAACTTGTGAGGGGATAATTACATTCCTTTTTTGTTTGACTGTGTTAATTTCTTTGAATTACAATACAAATAGCCATCAGTTTTCAGGGCCAATTCATTTTAATTTTAGCTTATTAATTGACAAGGCCAAAAATTGAATTTAAAATTAAATTCAGAATTTTGCCCAACCCTGCTTCATGTTATTTTAAGGCCTGTCTGCCTTTACTGTATTACTGCCCATGGATTCAGAGGAAAGCAGCAGTAAAGCCACAGATAAAGCTAAAGAAAGGACACTATCTCTTTGCAACAGTATTGTTCTGGTTGTGCTGGTTGTGTTTTCTTTCTTGACTCTAAGTTGTGGCCTCTGCCCACAGGAAACTTTGTAACCACCACATACAATCTCTCTGGAGGATATATACCTTCTTTCCAGAAGAAAGAAGTGGGATCCGTAGGACAAAGGATTCAGCTTGCCCCTCTCGGACACCAGCATGCGCGTAAGAGTTTGGTTTTACAATTCATCTTCAAATCATTTATTTTTGACGTTCTTTGTTTGTTAGAACAGCATTATGGAATCATCATTTTTATGCTTTTCTTCATGCTGCATGCATGGTGGCTTGTGTATACTGATACAGTTATGTTGTCTTCGCAATACTGATATTAAATTTAAAGGTGAAGTGTGTAATTTTTGTAAATTTAAAATATTTTCTTTTGTTTATTATCATTTGTATGTTCGTTTCCTTGACAAATGTAAACACAAAGGCACTATCAAAACGTTGCTCTGTTTGATTGAGCAGCCCAAACAACTATGACATTTTTAAAACGTAGGATTGTGGAAAAGGCTGTTTATAAAGGCTACCATTGTTTTGAAATCCTTTGGTCCACAAAACCTACACACCTTTATACTTAATGTTATTCTTCCAAGACTCAAAATTTAAACTCCCCTTGTAAGCTTCTTTTTTTTCTGTTCTACATATCTGTTGCTAGAGCTTTTAAGATATGCTGTTTCTTTCTACATTCATTTATTAATTCACACTGTCTCTGTCTGTTTCTCTCACATCTTTATATCTGCTCTTAGTTGATCTCTCTGCCACTGCTGACTCAAAAACTGGCAAAGCTAAACCTTCAAAGTCCAAACCTTCCTCTACAGTTTCAGTCAGTGAGATCTCTGAAGGTAAAATCTCAGAATAGTCTTATGCCGAGTTCACACTGCATGATTTTAGCCGGATTTTTCACTCGCCGACAGGTTTTGCGAAATGCGCGCCGTTCTCGACCCCGCCGCCTCTGCTCACTCGCGTTATTTCCTTGTCACTTCCCACGTGTGTTTTGTTGTCAAACGTAGTTTGCGGACCAGACAGAGTTGTCCGCGATTCTTCCTATTGTAAAGTCATGCAGTGTGTAACCTCCTGTCGCCGATCCATCGTGTAATGTGAACACAGCAGCGACTGACCTCAGATTGTCGTGCAGTGTGAAAACCACGGTGACCCGACGACTTTGAAAATCGTGCAGTGTGAACTCGGCATTAGTCAGCACTTTCTTCCCAGGGTCCAAAATTAACGTTGTCACACCTTCTGGGTTTATTTTTATTAAAATTATATATTTTTATTGTTTGTACAGTGGATTTATATAAGTGATACCTTGCTCTTAGTGACAGATACACTGAAATCATTGTCACTTGCAGCATCATTTATGAGTCAGTGTATAACGGCAGCTGTCACAACGTTAAGACGCATGATAATTTTTTCCCCCCTCATATTACCATTTTGGTGGCCAATGCAAGGACTATTCCACATAAGTCACTAGACCATTGTCTTTGATTTTAATCACCTCTGCCAGACTATTGTTGATATGTTGTGAGCCATGTGATGTTGAAGTTCCTAATTAAGTTACTGGCCAACTGGTTTTATTTACCAAATACAGTTTTTACTCTCTTGCCCCTTGGCAAGTGTTAATTTTGGACTCGGCCTCTTTATTACATAAGAAGTAGCCCATAACTTAGGCTTTGCTGAATTTGCACAAGTGTTAAAAGCTTGTTCTCTCTTCTCAGATTATGATGGATGGAAAAGGAGAGCGGAACGAACCCAACCTAATGGAATGAGTTACTCGGCTCTGGGCAAAAACTCAGCCAATCTCATTGCTCGCGCTCCACCAGTTCAGCCAGTGCATGGGCGGGTTGACTGGGCTGCAAAATATGGAAGCCATCGCTAATATCTATTATGCGAGCTACAGCTGCTGTGAGGACTAAGGCCTGTTTCAACACTCGTGAATATTGTATAAACACGTATCTTTTTGTTTCTGCGAGGAGCATCCACACCACTTACTGTAAGCCCACGGCTGATTAATTGTTCGATAAAAAACAAGAATCTGTGTACAATAGATTTTTACAAACCTAACAATTTGTTCATCTTTAAATCTGTCTTGTTAAGTTTATGCATCCAATGCCTGTAACCCTTATTTTCAATAGAATGGGTAGATCTGTATCCCATATATTGCATTTATTTTTTGTAACCTTTTTGACTTTTTTTGTTATAGTATGCAGTTTTTAAATATATTCTTGTTTTCTTTTTTTATGTGTTACTGTGATTCATACTGCAAGGCAGTGTTATTTATATTTCCTTGTATGTTGAGTATCCTTTATTTCAGTTTTTTTTTTTCCCCTGTAAACGGTACTGACAACTACCACATAAACATACAATGTAGATAACAGCGATTGGGTTGGGCTGAACTCAAATCAATAAATAGTGTTTTGTAAGTGTTTTATATGCATAAAATGGGCATGTTTGTATTAGAAATCTTTGATTCAGAAATTCTCCTGACAACTACATTTTTATTGTACATTTTATTCAAAATATGACAATGAGCTTTAATGACATGTTGTTGAAAGAAAATTATGTTTGAATGAAAGTAGACAGTGATTTCTGTTTGGGTATCATGATTGCTGAGGTTTCTGTAGCATTCCGGCTCCGAGTTTTGCCAGCATCAGCACACTGCAAGAAACATTTAAAGGTAATAGTTCAGGTAAAAATGAAAATTCTGTCATCAGACATCAGATTCAAAAGACACATTTTGGTCTGTTCCTTAAGCAAAGCTATTGCGTGACTTCAGAAGACTTGAAGTATGTATAGCAGATGAGGCACATGGGCTACTTTTTTGATAGTACTAATGTTGTTTTTTTGGAGTTTGACAGTCCTGGTATTATGGAAAAGCTGCAAAAGTTCTTCCCATTCTGTTTCATGGAAGCAAGCAAGTCATACAGGTTTGAGTAAACACAATTGAGCGAACTTGCCCTTTAGATTTAAGTTGATAATTAACTGCAGTCATGTGACAATACCTGGAAAACAACACTAATGAGGGGCCTCTGCTCAAACAAAACTGGAGTAAATAAGAGAAAATGATTTTACTAATGATAAATTGCATTTTAAGCTGCAACATGCTGAAAAAGCACTTGCAGAAATAAACTGGGGTGGTACCTTTGATTGAAAGGTTGCTATATTCATACCTTCAATATTTGTAAGGTACTGCAATGAATACCATTTCATAATTAAAACACACACAGACACAAACAGATGCTAATACTATGGTAATACTATGGTACTTTTTATGCTATAAGTCAGGGGTTTTCAACCTTTTAGGACATGCGCCCCCCATGTTTGTTAACTCGTATTCATAAATTCTCAAGGGAACGTCTCTGAATTAACTGATGCTCGCGCCCCCCTTGACAGGTGCTGGCAGGTTGAAAACCCCTGCTATAAGTGACATGCTGAGATTTTTGGAGTGGGAGAGGCTGAATTACACTGAACAAAATTATAAACGCAACTCTTTTGTTTTTGCCCCCATTTTTCATGAGCTGAACTTGGAGATGAACTGAACATGAGCTGAGAGAATTTGGCAGTACATCCAACCGGTCTCACAACCGCAGACCACGTGTAACCACACCAGCCCAGGACCTCCACATCCAGCATCTTCACCTCCAAGATCGTCTGAGACCAGCCACCCGGACAGCTGCTGCAACAATCGGTTTGCATAACCAAAGAATTTCTGCACAAACTGTCAGAAACCGTGGGGGCAAAAACAAAAGTGTTGTTTATAATTTTGTTCAGTATATAATATTTCTGTTTCTTTGCGTTACACTATTAGCTGGAATCTGCATGAGTATGTGACTCATTTGTCTTTTTTTAATCAGCTGTTAATGAGCTAAAATGTTTTGCTAATAGTCGAGAGCTATATCATCTACGAAAAAGGGAAACCCTGTTTTAGACAAATGAAGTGTGATGTGTGTTAGTTACCTAGCTCCAGCAATAAGACCAGCTGGAATGATTTTGCGTGAGTTATAGAATCTCTTTCCCATGATAGCAGCAAGTGTCCCAGATGCAGCTAAGAGAGGGAAAATATTTTTGGGATCTTGTGATGTCTGATAAGCACCAAAACCAGCCAAACCACCAAAGAGCAGCCCTGCTGCCAGGGACGGGACACTGCCTGCAAGACAAATTAATTAAAACATAAAATAAACACTGTCTTGATGAATGGTATGAAGTGTCATAAGGAATTCAGATTACAAAACAAGAAGTGTTTTTAACTTTTAGACGTTTATGTTATTATCCAGGAAAAACCTTTTTTAAATTTTTGTACAATCATACAACAGGGCTGAAGGCAGGTTTTTTTATTTTTTTGGTTCCAAGGTGTATGACATTTTCACTGAATATAGAGGAACCAAATACATTTATGTAAAAATAAGTGATTAAAGACCTTTGTTTTGTTAAAAATGACATAATGGTGGTGCATGTGTGGGGTAAAATCTGATCAAGCTGGCGTTTAGCTGATCAGTTTTTAGCCAGTTGTCCAGTCTGACAAGTGCCAGCCAACCAAACCAGCCTGCCCAAGCAATGACCATCAAACAAGTTTGGGCTCTTAATCCTGTAAACTCTATATAGGTCTACATGATAATCTCTTGATCTTTCGCACTACCTGCTTTGACGTATCCTATGACTCCTCCAGATGCTACTAGTGCTGCGTATCCATATCCAGCCCAGTCCACTGCCATTATCAACACCTCAACACACATACAGAAACATTTTAAACATACACAGCTTGACAGTTTACAGATAGTGTGCATGAAACTTACACAAACATACTTGTATATGTCATAACCAGGGTTGGGGAGTAAGGGAATACATGTAACGGCGTTACGTAATCAGGATACAAAAATCTAGTAACTGTAATCTGTTACAGTTACATCAAAAAACAAAGTATTCAGATTACAGTTACATTTTGTAAAAAGTGGGAATACTATCAGGATTACATTTGTTTAATTTAAAATTAAATAAATTAGTATTTTGACATAACGCTATATATTTAGTGCTATTTCATCATAGTTCCTGGTAGAGCCCTGCACGGGCCTCAAATATAGGCCTAGTCCCTAGCCCGGCCCGTGTCCGACAGCTTATCAGAATTGCCGGCCCGAGACCGTCTTTTTCCCCCTTCTCCCAAAACAGTTTATACTACTGTTTTGTATGTAATGGCAAAGTGATTATATTTCGTTTCGTTTTTTTATTAAGTTAATTTAGAAAAACGTTATAAAACAGTTCTAGCATATCACAATGTTAGTTTAAACGTTTAACCTATATATTAAAGTAACAACCAAGCGGCCAGCGGCAGACAATAAGCTGATCATAGCCTATGTTTGATAAATTTTAGCCTTCTCAAATCATCACGACTTGCCTAAAATAAAATCTATAGATATAAAACTGTTCAAGCATCTAACAATGTGTAAACGTTAAACCTAGATAAATGTGCGCTATATAGTATATTCAATAGTTTGTGCGGAGAGTGCAGGCTAAAGTGCGCTTTGCAGGACATGGAGGCGCCAGTGCAATCACTTGCATTTTTTTCAGTGGATATGCCGTCATTTTTGCTCATAAAGGTAAGAGTAATACATCACTCGGAACTGTAAAGGGTCTACTTTTATTTGTGTGCACTCACAATATCAACAAAACGGTGTGCTTTTATAAAATAAAGAAAAAAAACATGATGCGCTTTCTGCCGTTTCGTCTTGAACAGGAGCGCATCACAAAAACGAACCGAAACTCAGCGAATAGATGCCTCACAGACATGATAAATATATGTATAGAAAGCTTTAAATTACTACTTAATGAAATAAAACAAATCAAAAACAAAAACTCTTTAATTATAATCATAATCCTAAAACAGGCCCGAGGCCCGGCCCGCGTCTGAACTATGACGTGAAAATTGGCCCAAAGCCCGGCCCGAGGGGCGTAAAAAACATCGGGGACCGTCGGGCCCAGGCTGAAATGCAGGGCTCTAGTTCCTGGTTCTGTTGACACATGTTGACTCATGTGAGCCGCCTGCTGGTGCGTGCGCAAATAACACCCGTCTACAATTATCCTCCTCAAACGCGGGATGAATTAATTACGATGCTTCCTGCTGGGAAAAACGTTTCCATGTCTGGAAATGTCACATTATTTTACACGTTATTTTGTTTTCAAAGAGGATAAGGGAAATAACATAGTTGTACAGCGTAAGCTATGCATGGAGCCTC